GCCTGTCTCCTGCCAGTCAGAGGTCTCCTGGGTGGTAGTACAGGTTTCTGCACCAAATGCCAGAAGCCAAGGTATTGTCCCACCCTGGCAGTGTGACTGGGGACTTCCATCTTCTGCCTTAGCTTTCTGGAAAATCCAGGCATGACCTTTGTGTTTTCCTGCCTGGAGGCTCTGTTAGTGCTGGGCCATCAGCAGATGGGAGCAGAGGGCTCATCTCAGCAGGAGCCCTCAGGGGTTGGGAGCATTGCAGTGGGGATGTGCATGGCACCGCACTCTGCTGCGTGGGCCTCCTCACTCCTTGCAGACGTGCCCCATGTGTGTAGCTGGGTGAGGGGGCTGTGATGGAGGCAGGCACAGGTTTGAGGGCTTGGAGAGGAAGGCTTCAGGTCCAGACTGCCCCCACCGAAGGGTAGGGCGCAGATTTTACTTGGGGCCTGGCCTGGACCCTGTAGGACTTTGGACAGGAAATGGGAAGGGAAGCAGATTTGGGGACACGGCACCAGCTGTGTTCCCTAAGAGGTAGAAGAAGGCTTCTGAGTGGCTCTGGCTAGACCAAATCAAAGGATGTGGAGTGCAAAGTCAGAGAACCAGTTTGAAGAGAGGTGACCAGGTCCTGGGAGTTTCTGACCTTAGAGGTTTTCCTATGTAGAGGCTCCTGAGCATTCCTGGCGCTTCCCCGACGAGGGAAGTGGAGAGAGGGGCTCGGAAGGGCCCCTGCCCCTCCCTGCAGGCACACCCACAGTGGGAAATGGCTTCAGGAGAAAGGTATACTCTAAGAACTTTTCCAGGCCCGGGGAGGGTCCAGGCTCTGAGCTGTGGGGTCCTGTGTGTCTCCAGCTGCAGTGGGTGGGGGCACCCTGCAGCTCCTCCTGCCGCAGTGCCTGTGGCAGCGGGGTTTCTGCTTACTCATTCCAGGATCTGGCTTTTAGGGCCATAAATCTTCAGCATGAAGATCATAAATTCTCTACAGTATGATTAATGAAAGAAAAATTGTGACGGCAGCATAGAAACTGACCAGATTGAAGGAAAGTCAGAGTGACTATTTGGATGAAAGTTTCAGCCGTCATTGGTGAACCCAGAGCTTCTGAACCAGCCTGGAGCGCCACCTGGTGGCTGTAGCGGGGCTAGGCCCCCTGTTCCCCGGCGAAGCTTTGTGATGGCCCAGTCGGGCTGATGCTGTGGATCTGAGTGTGCTCATTCCTTGGGAACGCTGACCTGCTTCCATGTGGGGCTGCGCCAGGGGACAGAAGGCGAAGGACCACTCTCCACAGTGTGGAGGACCCGGGCTGCTGCTGGACATACTCATTCGGACTCCCCTCCAGCTCCTTGTATTAGTAATACATGGAGGTGTCTGTCCCCACCTTTTTCTTCATGCACAGTGTGGACCACCTTTCTGCTTCCCCATTTATCAAAATCCTACTGATTCTTCAAAGCCCAGAAAGGCCTGTCAATGCTACCTTCAGAACATCTCACACTGGACCATTCTCACCCATCCTCCGTAGCCTCCTGCTGAGTCGCCCCAGCTCCCACGTAATCCCAGCTGCCTCCCAGTTGCTCTCCTGGCCTCCCCCGGGCCCTCCCGCGATCTGTCCTCCAAACAGTAGCCAAAGTGATCTGCTGAAAACCTCTGTCAGATCATGTCACTCTCCAGCTCTGGGGCCTTCCCATCACAGCTTTGTCTCCTGCCATGTGTCATCTCACTCACTGTTGTGCCACACAGCCAGCATGCTCCTCCTTGGCTGGCCGGGCTCCTTCCCACTTCGGGGCATTGGCACCTGCTGTTCCCTCTGTCTGGAACATTCTTCCCCCAGATAGTGGCATAACTATCTGGGGGAAGAATGTTTATTTGGGTTTTTGTTTAAATACCACCTCTTCTTTTTTTTTTTTTTAATTTTTTATTGGATTTTAGGTTTTGGGGTACATGAGCAGAGCATGCAAGACAGTTGCGTAGGTACACACATGGCAGTGTGCTTTCTTTTCTTCTCCCCTTCACCCACATTTGGCTTTTCTCCCCAGGCTATCCCTCCCCACCTCCCCCTCCCACTGGCCCTCCCCTTTTCCCCCCAATAGACCCCAGTGTTTAGTACTCCCCTTTCTGTGTCCATGTGTTCTCATTTTTCATCACCCACCTATGAGTGAGAATATGCGGTGTTTCATTTTCCGTTCTTGTGTCAGTTTGCTGAGGATGATGTTCTCCAGATTCATCCATGTCCCTACAAACGACACAAACTCATCATTTCTGATTGCTGCATAATATTCCATGGTGTATATGTGCCACATTTTTCCAATCCAGTCTATTATCAATGGGCATTTGGGTTGATTCCAGGTCTTTGCTATTGTAAACAGTGCTGCAATGAACATTCGTGTACATGTGTCCTTATAGTAGAAGGATTTATAGTCTTTTGGATATATACCCAGTAATGGGATTGCTGGGTCAAATGGAATTTCTATTTCTAAGGCCTTGAGGAATCGCCACACCGTCTTCCACAATGGTTGAACTAATTTACACTCCCACCAACAGTGTAAAAGTGTTCCTTTTTCTCCACATCCTCTCCAGCATCTGTTGTCTCCAGATTTTTTAATGATCGCCATTCTAACTGGTGTGAGATGGTATCTCAATGTGGTTTTGATTTGCATCTCTCTGATGATCAGTGACGATGAGCATTTTTTCATATGATTGTTGGCCTCATATATGTCTTCTTTCGTAAAGTGTCTGTTCATATCCTTTGCCCACTTTTGAATGGGCTTGTTTGTTTTTTTCCTGTAAATCTGTTTGAGTTCTTTGTAAATTCTGGATATCAGCCCTTTGTCAGATGGGTAAACTGCAAAAATTTTTTCCCATTCTGTTGGTTGCCGATCCACTCTAGTGACTGTTTCTTTTGCCGTGCAGAAGCTGTGGAGTTTCATTAGGTCCCTAAATACCACCTCTTCTAAGATGCCTTCCCTGCCCACCCACTCCCGGTTATTTTCTGGCTGTTTACCTAGCCTTGTTTTTCTTTGCGGCACGTGTCAGCAGCTGAAGTTATGCTTTTTGTTGCTTACGTAAGATCGGTATCTCCTGTAAGACCCTATTCTTCGTGAAGGCAGGGTCTTTGCTAGTGAGGTATACACTGTCTCCCAGCTTGGAGAAGGGCCTGGGACTGAATATGCAGCTGCACACTTGGGTTTGTGGAGGAATAAGTGAAGGAGATGCCCTTCCTCAGGGAAGCATCTGTCCCCTCCTCTCACCTTCCCATGGGCATCACTACTCTGCCTGATTGCGGGCGACCTTGTCTCAGCCCTGAGCCTGTTTCCTCCCAGCAGCCAGAGCAGCTTGAGAGCAGGGGCTGGGCTGATTCCTGGAGTCAGCACAATCAGCACAGGCCCTGGCATGGAACGGCTGCCCAGGAAGTACCTTTCCAGCAAGCAGTGCCCGGAACTGGCCACCCACTTCGCGTCATGCTAATTCTCACAACAGTCCAATAGGAAGGGGATGATATTCTCACTCCGCATACAAGAGGTTTGCAAGCTCACACCACCAAGATAAGCTGGAGCTGGGATAACCTGTTGGGGTCTGTGACTCCCAAGCCCTTAGGCCCTGCACTTTCACCTGGCATGGAATGTTCTCGTCCTCCATCTGCCCCAAGTCCACCCACCCTTTAGGGACTGCCTCCTTCAACGGGCTTCTGTGACTGTGAGTGATGGCCTCCTCTGAATGCCCGTGGCACTGATTGGGCACCAGTCCATCCCACCTGGGAGTGGTAGATGTTGCACTTTTATTGCTCCCATCCAGCCAGAACAGAGGCCCCTGGAAAACAGGTCTCTAAAGTGGTTGTAGCTTTTCTGGCATGGCACACTGCATGCTGCAGGCACTCAATAAATACTGTTTGACTGATTGATTGGCTCCTCAGGCTCAGCAAACTTCTCCTGGGCTGGCGGAGGGACTGGGGGAATGCCAGCTATATCGAGCATAAAATAAGGCAGATGTGGAGATTTGCAGCCAGTGAAACAGAAGCTTCCCCAGGTGGAGCTGGTGGCGCCGGCGGCTGCAGGAGTGCTGTGGGGGAGAGAGTCACTTTTTCGATTTTGGGGCTGATCATGCTGGAGGCCGGCTTTATTTTGTTTTATTTATTTATTTATTTTGAGACAGTGTTGCTTTGTCACCCAGGCTAGAGTACAGTGGCACAATCTCGGCTCACTGCAGCCTCCATCTGCCAGGTTCAAGCAATTCTCCTGCCTCAGCCTTCCAAGTAGCTAGAACTACAGGCTCATACCACCAGGCCCAGCTAATTTTTGTCTTTTTACTAGAGACATGTTGGTTATACCACGTTGGTCAGGCTGTTCTCAAACTCCTGACCTCAGGCGATCCACCCAAGGCTGGCTTATTGGATGGATGGCGAGGGCAGCCAGGGACTCCCATGTCCCACACACTGGCCAGGTTCCTGGCCAGCTGACCAATGTCTTCTTTCTCCACCTGTGGGAAATTGTTCTTAGACTCCAGTAGACAAATGACCTTTGGTCAGAGTAACAGGACACAGCCACTGGGAAGTTCTGGCTCTGAGAAACCCCATTCCAAGGGTCCCTTCCTACCTCTAGGGATGAAGTCTTTCTTGCTTTCCCAACCCCAGTGCTCCTCTCTCGTCTGGCCTCCAACTTGGACACTAGAGATTCTTCTCCATCACATGGAGTAACCTCAGCCGCTCACATGTGCCCAGTACCTTCCATGTATTTATTTGTTACACACTTTTGCCTCTGTGAGGTTTAATCAATCCTCAGAGTGACCTGGGAGGCTCGTGAAGGTCACATGGGGAGACTGAGGCACAGAGCGGCAAGGGGACTGTCTGGGTCACACAGCTGACGTGCTTTGGGTCTGCGGCCATGCCCGACAGTAGCCTGGTTCTCACCTTGTGGGTTTTGACCTTGTCTGTGTCTCAGAGCATGGGGTGGGGACTGCAGTGTTCCCAGGTCCGTGGAGGAGTGTGAGAGCAGTGCCGGGCTAACGGGCTTTCCTTCCTCTCCAGCTCTGTGGCTGTGGGCTGCTTGGAGTAGGCATCTGGCTCTCCGTGTCCCAAGGCAACTTTGCCACCTTCTCCCCCAGCTTCCCCTCGCTGTCTGCGGCCAACCTGGTCATCGCCGTAGGCACCACTGTCATGGTGACGGGCTTCCTCGGCTGCCTGGGGGCCATCAAGGAAAGCAAGTGCCTCCTCCTCAGCGTAAGTTGTGTTAGAATCCCAGCCCCTCCAACTCCTGACCTCCTTGTACATGGGCCCCGGGGATAGGCAAGGCCTGGAACATCAGCCACCTGGATGTCCAACTTGAGCCCAGGGAACCTGCTTCTAGAATGTTCCAGGCCTGACCACACCCCTCCTCTTCATGATTGGTTATGGATGCCCCTAGTTGCCCCTCCCACTTCCTGGTTAGTTCAGCTCCTTTATGTCCCTGTCCTAGCTATCTGGGTTTCCTTGGGAGGAGCTGGCCTCTCTCAGGCCTGGGAAGCCCCACCTGTCCCTGCCTCCCACATTCTCCTTGTCCTCAGCCGTGCCCATGACCACCTACCCATGCCTGGGCCTTTCCTTTTCAGTTTTTCATCGTCCTGTTGGTCATCCTTCTAGCAGAGCTGATCTTACTCATCCTCTTCTTTGTCTACATGGACAAGGTAAGCTTGACCAGAAGGGAGGGGGACAGGGAATGTCACTGGCCTTGGGGTTGGGGCAGGCAGGCCAGGGTCCCTTCTCTGGCCAGAGGAAGACTGCTGGCAAGCGGCACCTGAGTAGAGAGGAGGATGGAACCAAGGGTTGGGAAAGCCACCAAGGAAAGACCAGAGGGAAGGTTTTGATGGGGGCAGCGTGGAGCAGACAAGTTTGGAGGGTGGGGAAGTTGACTTTGTACAGACCCAGGGAGTGGAGTCCTCTGCAGGACCAGAAATGGCAGTGGGCTACCTCTGGCGCTAGTGAGCTCCCTGTCACCGGAAGTAACTAAGCTACTTGGAGAAGGGATTCAGACCTCACCAGGTGGTTGGGCTGGGTGATTTGAGAGAAACCCACGAGAAACAAGGAGGAATTCTCTGGGTGACGCTGGCTGAGCAGGACCGCCAGCTCAGGGAAGCTCCACTTCTGGCGCTAGAGCCCGTGAGGACGGGTGCTGCTCCGGGGTTCAGGAGGGTGGTGGGTGACCCCTACAACCTCTCCAGGCCGGGCATTTCGCAGCCGAGTGAGACTGGCCAGGATTTAAGTGTCTCGGGGTGTGGCAGGCCCTTTGGTACTGTGCACTCCAGAACTCCATAAGGATTCGTTTTTGAAGTAGCTGCCTGAGCCACACTGAAAGTTAGAGACATCGTTAGCATGAGAAACCAGCATTTTTTAGTTTTGTGCTTGTGAAAGGGAAGAAAGAATAATGTCCAGAGATTTCTCTGTCTTGGCCCTTTTATGAGAATTGTTTCCCTTAATTCTTACAACAGCCCCAGGAGTAGATACTGCTATTCAGTATCAGATAAAACAGCGGGGAGGGAGGTGCAAGGTCACATGACCTATCTTTTTCCCTGCAGTTCCCAGGGTGTGTTTTGAGAGGGCAGTCTGTGGGGAAGCTGTGTTGTGGGGGGATGGGGATGGCAGAGTGGACTGTGTGTGTGGCTGGTTCTGGGATGGGGGAGTGGGAGGCACGTGGCGTGTTTTTTGCCTCTGGGCATTATGACTCTGGCCCTGAGTTTAGCTCTGCGGGGAGGTGGTGGGTGCACCAAGGCCTGCTGTGTTCTGAAGCTGAGAGTGTAGCCTACCCCTGCACCTCTCTTGGGCCAGCAGAGCCCCCCACCCCTGTGGGCAAGGCCTTCCAGACCAGCTGCCTCCCCTGCCTTCCTCCTCCCACCCCGCATCTGTCACCCACCGTCCTGGGTGACCTGAGGTGGGCCTGAGAGACGAGCCGCATGCTGGTCCCAACCATCCTGCTGTGCCCCTCCGCCTGGCAGGTGAACGAGAATGCCAAGAAGGACCTGACGGAAGGCCTGCTGCTGTACCACAACGAGAACAATGTGGGGCTGAAGAACGCCTGGAACATCATTCAGGCCGAGGTGGGGGCTCAGCCACGCTGGTGGGGCCAGGCAGGGAGGAGGGGTGGTGGCCGGTGCTTCCAGCTGCCTTCCCAGGGGACCCAGCTGGGTGCCTGTGCTTTCTGGATTTTAACCGGGAGTGGGGTGGTACCCATGGGGGCATTTGCCTGAACTGCCAAGTCAGACGTGATATGACAAGGTGCAGCCAGAGAGGGATGAGGACACAGGAGGGACAGGCCTAGGAGAGCTGTGGCTGAGCTTCAGGATGAACGCCCGAATTTATTTTAGCAACAGATTTGCCTCCCGGACGGGGCTTGGCTTAGGTGAGGAGGCTCTGGCTCCAAGAGGAAAACAAGTCCATACTCCCAGATGTGCCAGGGGGCTGAGTGACAGTCAGCTTGGGATGATTTACAGAAAGAGCAGAGTGGGCGAGCACAGGCTGCATTGCCGTCTTCCGCTCTGGTCTCCAGGAAGGAGTGCTCACACACTTCCCCAGTGGGCCCAGCTGAAGCCCAAAGAAGGGGAAAGAAGCAGGCCCTTGTCTTCTGCCTTAACTCCAGGTGGCCACTTTTGGGGGGCTGGGATTTGCCTGGGTAGGGGAAGACCCTGGAGAGGAAGGGGCAGGCCCCTGCGTGTCTGACCGCCCCTTCCATTCCCGCGGGCTAGATGCAATGCTGCGGTGTCACGGACTACACTGACTGGTACCCAGTGCTGGGGGAGAACACGGTCCCTGACCGCTGCTGCATGGAGAACTCCCAGGGCTGTGGGCGCAATGCCACCACTCCTGTGTGGAGAACGGTGAGGCTGGGGGTGGGCTGCTTGGGTCCATGTGTGGATGCCCTGACACGAGGAGACATGGGGAGGCCGGGCCTGGGACACTAAGAGGTTGGCTGAATGTGGGGTGGGGAAGGGACTTAACAAAAATAAAGCCAAAAAGCAGGTGGAAAATGGTGGGGGGTGCTGGACCCACAGTTAGGAGAGTCAGAGGGCGAGGGGTTGAATGGGGTCTGAGGCCAGGGAGGGCTGGGAGGGGTAAGAGCAAGGACGAGGTGGGTGAGAGAGAGAGTGAGGTGGGGGCCGGGCTGCAGGGAGCGCATGCTTGGGCTGGGACCCTAACCTCGTGGGTCTCGCTCCCCAGGGCTGCTATGAGAAGGTGAAGATGTGGTTCTATGACAATAAGCACGTGCTGGGCACGGTGGGGATGTGCATCCTCATCATGCAGGTAAGAGGGGCGTCCCCTGGAGCCTCGCCCTCCCTGTGGGCCTCAGCGTGGAGGGAGGGAAGCACGGACCAGTGAAAGCGCTGTTGGTACACGGCGGAGGGACTGGAATTCATCACAGCATTTCTAGCTTGGCAGCTGTGCCTGCGCCATTTTCACAGCTCCGATGTGAGAGCAAGCATCTACTTGGCACTGAGAATGCCCTCAGGGCTGCCTGTGGCCAGGCCTGGGCTGGGATAGTGAAGTTGGAGTCACCCCCATGGGTTCCCCCAGTTCTTCCCAAACCTTGAGCCCAGTAAGCCACGAAAGGCACACAGGTGTCCCCCAGTCACCGTGTTTACAGCTTGGCCTATGGCACACTATCTGTGGTGACTATGAGACCACAGCAGGCTTCCTTCTGCCTCCTACAATCCTCTGGGTCCCTGGCTCCTTTCAGGATTCGGGAGTGGAGGGACATAAACAAGTGGTGACATCGTCTTGAGCACACAGCATTGGTAAGACAGCCCTGTTGCTGCTAAGACGTCGCACCGTGAATTCCACAGCCAGACGGGAGGGGCTTGGCAGGGGTCTTTTTTTTTTTTTTTTTTTAAGAGACAGGGTCTCACTTTGTTGCCAGGGCTGGAGTGCAGTGGTGCCATCATAGCTCACTGTAGCCTCAAACTCCTGGGCCCAAGCAGTCATCCCTCTTCAGCCTTCCAAGTATCTAGGACTATAGGCACATACATCATCACACCTGAATAATTAAAAATACTTAAAAAAAGTCAAGATGGGGTCTCCCTATGTTGCCCAGCCTGATCTCAAGCCATCCTCTCACCTTGGCCTCCTAAAGTGCCACCGTGCCTGGCTGGCATGAGTCTTATTTATTTTTCTTTCTTTCTTTCTTTTTTTTTTTTTTAAGAGATGGGGTCTTGCTATGTTGCCCAGGCTGGAGTGCACACTCCAGCACACTCCCACTACTGATCAGCACGGGAGTTTTGACCTGTTCCATTTCCAACCTGGGCCGGTCCACCCCTCCTCAGGCAACCTGGTGGTCCCCCACTCCCGGGAGGTCACCATATTGATGCCGACCTTGATGTGGACACCCGAGCAGCATAGCGCATTACAGCCCAGAACTCCTGGGCTCAAGCGATCCTCCCACCTCAGCCTCCTGAGTAGCTGGAACTACAGGCATGTGCCACCACGCCTGACTGACATGAGTCTTGAGTGAACCCTCTCTCCACCTTAGCTCCTGTGAGTCCCCACTTGGGGCCAGGTCCTCGTGCATTCTGTGCTCTCAGCGCCCCTCTGAGTGGGCATGCTTGTACATCTTGCAGAGATCTGATGGCTTCTGGTCAAACAGCCCCAAGAGGCTGAGCCAGAGTTCACCTGCATATGTGGCCTCAAGCAAGGGCTCCTGGGTGACCTCTGTTCACCGTTTTCTTCATTCCACAAGCATTTCCCGGCATGCCAGTCGCCGTCCCCACCTGCTCTAGGTGCTCTGTGACCTCCCAAGCCTCTTGGGGCCGAGGTCAGGTCCAGGCTGCTGCGGCTCCCACCTCAGGCCCTTCCCCGTGTCTTTCAGATCCTGGGCATGGCCTTCTCCATGACCCTCTTCCAGCACATCCACCGGACTGGTAAGAAGTACGACGCATGAGCGGGCTGGCCGGGAGTGCCCGCCCCACCCCGCTGCCCTGTGGAGGGAAGAGGATTGAGCTTTGTGTCGCCTGCCTGCACTCTCCAGATGTGACCCCTGCACCCACCCACCCCAGCCTGCCCCACCCCACCTACTCGAGTGCCAGGGAGGAGGAGGCACACGGAGACCTGGGGCTTGGGGCACCTGGATTCCTGCATCTGCATATGCGTATTTGCCAAAGACGACAGGGTGGGCTGGGGTGCACTCAGGAGGATCCCTCCCCAGCACTGATGGGCTTCTGCCCCTGCCCTTCCTCACACTGACACTTTGTCCCCACATGGGGTGGGGAGCAGAGTGCCCCCCCCTGCCATGGAGATACTGTCCCAGCAGGGGCCGCTGCGTCTGTGGTCACCATGGGGCACTTGGCGGGGTGGGGTCTGCCGGCCTCTGGCCAAGGCCCCTGGAGCATCTTGCCCAGGCTTTTTATACCTTACAATGTAACTTTTTTATTTTATTTTACTCTACGATTATTCAGGAATATTATCTCTCAGATAAGTTTAGGGTTAGATTTCTGATTTGTAACTTTTTACTGTGTTGATTTCTTTAATGGTTTGATTTTTTTTCCCTGAGGGTGAGGGATGGGTGGGAAGAGAGGACATCTGTCCAGTCTCAATCAGGACAGACCACCGTGTGACACCCAGGAGGCTCACGGATGGGGCGTGCCAGCGCCCTCAGAACGCATGGGAAGGGGGTGTGTGGACAGGATGCAGTACCTCACCAGGCTTGGTGTCCGAGGACGGGAGCCTGGAAGAGGCGGGTGGAGCATGAAGCAGGCATTTGCTCACTGAGCGAGCCAGGAAGGCCAGGGCAGGGGGTCCCATGGCGCCAGGGAAACACTTAGCCAGGAAGGTGGCAGAGCTAGCGGGGTCCTTAGACTTTTCACTGATGAGCAGTTGTTGGTGTTTTCTTTCTTCCTTCCTCCGGCTCTCTGCTGGCACAGGAGGCTTCCCCTTCCACCCCATGTGGGTGTTCCCACAACAGGTTCTGCACACCCCAGTTATTTCACAGACATTCCTGCTAGAAACTCTCAGACAAATACCTCTCTAGTTCAGATGCTGCTCACTTTCTCCCTTGCTTCTGGAAGGGAAGCGGTCCTTAGGTTTTGCTGTGCTGGGCAGTGGCAGGGGACCCATGGGGGTGGGGTTGGCGCCCACAGTCATCCCCACCAGCTTTGCTCAGCTGCGGGTTGCCCTGCTGGGAAGGAGGGAATCACGTCCACCTAGGTCCCAAGGTCTCCGCCTCCTTCCCTGGGCCCACTGACATTAGCAGTGATGATCACATCCTCTGTGATCCCAAGGAGAAGAAATACAGAAAACCCAAGTGAGGTCAGACTGGCTCTTGTTACCGGAGCCACAGGAAGAAAGCAGCTGGAGTCACGGCATGTGCAGAGCTGGGCGTGGGAGATGAACAGGCTGGGGAGTGAGGCAGGGAGTGGTATTCAGCTGCAGCAGCGCACCCCCTTGAAACTGCAGCTGCTCTGGTTTACTGCTTTGCAGTTCAAAAAGATGGAGAATCCGTGGGACTGAGCATGGGGACCTTCCCCACTAGCCAGCATGTGTCGCACTTTATCAGGTGGGGCCTTGGTGGGCGGCTGCCTTTCCGATACAGTTTGTCTCCCCGCCTGATTTCCCATGGGGCCAGGTCTCTTCTCCAGCCTCCACCTGCCTGTCTGCTCCAAGAGCTGAGACACGGCCACCCAGCACCAGTCACTTCTCTGTTCACCTTAGGTAACACACACATTGGGACCACGAGGAGAGAACTGTTGGCATAATCAGGATTCGCGTTTTGCGAGGGTGGGAGTAGAGAGCAGGGTGGCCTTGCAAGTCATGAGGGGTAAAGACCGCTTCCCTGAGACGGGGCAAGGGTGCTGACGGAACACGGGGAGGCCCACATTCGAGCCAAGCTGCCCTTTCCTTGTCTTCTGGCCTGGCTTCTTGGTGAGGAGCTTCAGCTGCCTCCCCGGGAACCCCCAAAGTGCGGATTGCGGAGAGACACTAAGCACACAAGTGTTCCAGTTGCGCGGTGGGACCCGGGGCCTCGTGTTTTTTTTGCTGTGGGTGGGGTGGGTGGGTCTGTTTATGCCTATCAATGCAATTTTTAATTTTTGTTCATATCAACAGCAGAAGCCTAGTGCACTGGGAGATGTGCAACCTCTCTGAAAATCTTTTGTTTCCGGAGTGCTTCAGGGGTGGCCTCTGGCCCCACAGCCTTTGCCCCAGTGCTCCCACCAGCCCCCACCTCTTCTGTTTGCAGAGCCTCGTCTACAGGTCCCCACGCTGCCCTCTATACTCACTCTGTGCTTGGCTGTTTTATTATTTGGCAAAGTCTACATTGGGCGGAAATCTCTGTGCACAGAGCAGGTGTTCCTCCAAGCCCCTTCTACTCGGAGGGCCACACCTAGCGATGCCAGGGAAGGTGGCACAGCCTCTCTCCAGTTTCTCCTGACTGATCTCACTGGGGCAGAATTCCCCTGAGAGAATTCCCTCACCCTGGGCTTCCTTTGCCATAGTTAGTTCAATCGGGTCTGAACTGAGCAATTTACAGACTTGTCTCAGAAAGTCCCTCAGGGTTGGTAGAGGACTGCAGGGGAGCGTCCGCTGCAGACTCAGCCTTTCTCTGCAGCCATCTTGCAGCAAAGATGAGCAGGCACAGGCTGAGAACTGCCCTTGGGTGGCGGCAGCAGGTGTCAGGGTGCAAGTCTCCCCCTGTACCCCTCCCCCAGCTTGAGCCGTGTCACCTCCTCTCCCTCCAGCGTGGGCCTGCATCTCGGGCTCTCTGGAAGGACAGCCCTGCCCCAGACCCTCTTGCAGTTGTCCTGTTTGACTTGGAACTAGGTGGCCAGGCTTTGGTGGCCAAAGAGCAGTCCAGGTATATGGAAGTGGCTGTCCCCTCCTCTCCAGCCCCTGCCCACCCACTGGTGGAGGTGCTAACTAGCAGGGACGTGGCATAGGATGGGAGCTGGACGGGAGGTGCTCGGGGTCCATTTTTTGTCCCTCAGCTTCTCAGAATCTGGCCTGCTGGCCCCTATGTTCCCGTGCCCCCCACTGTCCTCCCCACTGCAGTAAGGCAATAGTCCAGGGTGAGGCCTGGCCTCCCCGCCTTGACTGGGCACTCAGGAGGTTAGGCCTGGGGCTTCCTGCCCACTCCTTGCCCACCTGCCTGCCCCTGGGTGGCACGGGAGAGTGGGGCAAGCACGCTTGTTGGTTTCAGATGCACTTTCTGCTTGCAATGCCATATCTGCGTTCCTTCATCCTGGTCCTGGCTTTATGGAACACCATGTTTTTAGCATGTTTTTAAATAACCAATAAAGTGTCAAAAGCACAGCAGGCTGTCTCTCAGTGGTGTTTTATTCACTAAGCCAAAACTGTGACTTATGTTGTGGTTGGTGTGAGGGACCCAGAGGGAGGTCAGATACCACTCCTACCCTTCATCCAAGACACACCCCCAGGGGGACCTCATCTCTTTTTCGGGCCCAGGTTGCAGATCTGCTGGTGCAGGGAGGGTCTCAGCCCACTCTGGGTGCCTGAGGAATCCTAACATTCCCCCTTGAAACAGGCTGGATCAGGGGTCAGTCACAGTGCTTGAGCCTTCTGCTTGAGGCCGTAGTCCTGTCTCTGTACCAATCACCCACCACACCGTGGCCAGGCCCCTAGTGTATCGTGGGAGGGGTATGGAATAAGTCATTAGCGGTTTCCTGTAGGGGAAGGGGCTTCCTGTAGGGGCGGGGCTGTCAGTTTCAGGAACAGTCTTCTTCCCAGTCCCTTTGACGTTCCCAGGGTCCATTTGAGCTTGATGTCTCCTAGGACTGAAGGGACCTCACAGAGTGGCTTGGCCCTTTCAGGGTGACTCTGGGACAGCCTCAAAGAAGGAACAAAATCTGGATGAGGATTGTTAGCAGGGAAGACCATTAAAACTGCGAGTGGGGAGAGCTGCTGGCTGGGCCGCTGACATTGTCGCCTTCCTATGGTCTCCTGTGGCCTTGGTTGGGGTCCTGGTGTGTGGGGTTTGGCTGTCAGTCATGGTGACAAACTGCAGATGAGAAGCTCAGAACTCCCCTTTCCCTGGTCCTCGCCATCCTCACATCCCCAGGGTGGAGGCAGGTGTGAGGGTGAGTGTGCATGGGGGTCTGACGACAGTTGGAGGTTTGGAGGTGGGCATCTCAACCCCACTGCCTGTGGAGCTCCATCTCCCTCCCTCTCAAGGGAGTGGCCAGGTCCATACAGAATTGTCCAAAAGCATCAACCTCCAGGGCCCCATCCTGTAGCTGCTGTGTCCCAGAGCCTCCTGAGATGGTGCCCTGAGTCTGAGCCACCCTCTGTCTAAGGTCCGGCTAGAGTGGGGTCTCTGAGAGCCTCCCCACGGTATTTACCAAGAGAGACTTGTGGCTGTAGGGTCAGGATTGATCACGGCCAAGGGCAAGTGAGAAAGGGCGGCTTCTGAGCAGTGGCAGAGCCCTGCCAGCTTTCCATGGGGCCAGCACTGGCGCACGCACAAACAGGTGTCTGTTTGCTCAAAGACTGACTGAATACTTGTGCCAGGCCCCTCGAACACAGTTGTGGATGACACAGACCTAATCCCTGCACTTACAGAGCTGACCATTTAGTGGGTACCCCAGAAGAGTGAATGCGATTGCAAGTAAGGAGTGGCAGCAATGTTCACAAGGCCCTGGGCAGCCCTCTGGGACAGTCACTGGCTGAACTTGGGGAAGTGAGGCCTCCAGAGCACGTGACGTCGAAGCTAACAGCTGAAGGTGGTGATGTTTGCCTGGCAAAGAGAAGCAGGAGATGTGTCCTGTGGATGCTTGTAGTTCACAGAGCTGGCGCACAGAGGGTGAAGGTACAGGTCTGGAGGCAGTGGTGACCGCCAGATCACAACCTTGAGAGCCAGGCCAAGGAGCTTGAAGTTCAGGCTGAGAACAGTGGGAGCTGTGGAAAGTCTTTAAGCCCAGGTGTGACAGGCTCAGATGCAGCCTTTAGAAAGCTGGCAGTGTGGAGAGTTGTCAGGGACAGAGAGTGTCACCAGGGGAACAGGCACAGGTGCTGCGGTGATTTAGGTGAGAGATGATAGAGCCTCAGGGAATGGCAGTGGGGTGGAGATGAAGCCGGGAGATTTGAGAGATGCACAGGAGAACCCGTGAGTCTTGGTGGTTAATGAAATTTATGCAAAGAGAGCATTCTTGCCACCTGCCCAGCATGACACCCTCAACCCAGACAGGTAGATGACTAATTGTTTGCACCAAGTGGATGGACGAATGTATCTTCTGGGCTCCGTGCTTCTTTGCAGGAGATGGCAGAGGTCCGCATGTTGCGATTAAATCTCTCTCTATTGAGCTGTACAGCTTGCAAAATGCTTCTGTAAACACGATCTAGGTTCCTCCTTACCAAACCCATCTTATTGGCTGTGCTTAAACTTTCACCATCAGAGGTGCACCTAGGTGTGGGTGGGAAGAGCACTGGTGTGGGCGCTGGAGGACCTGGGTTAAATTCCCGGTTTGCATTTGGTGTCCCTGTAAGCCTCAGACTTGTCTTGGTTGTGTCGTTTGCCAACATGGATCATGCCCATTTTATTTCTTTGTTATGGGGGTTAAATAGAGACATGTATGTAGAAGCATCCAGCTTGATTCTGGACCAGAAGAGGTGCTTGGCAAGAAGTTCATTGAATCTGGGTCCCCACATGAAAAGCGCGACCCCAAGCAGGAGCCGCTTTCAGCTTGCGGACACAGGAGAGCGGTCTGGGAAAGGGTGTTGGTGTATGAAGGGAGAGTGAGCTGCCCTCAGGAGCTCAGGGAACAAGCTTCCCTGTGCCTCTGTTTTGTTCTGGGCTGGCTCAGCAGCAACACTCGATATTCCACAGAAGCAAGAAGGAAGCCAGATTAAATAAATGTCATTTTGGACACAAAAATATTGACATTGCGATGGTCCCTTCTTAAAGCCGTCAGCAAAGCTTGGTAGGTTATTGATTTAGCCATCTCATTTTTGCTGAGTTTAATGACAGCAGTGAGATAGACTATTGTCTCCTAAAGCTAACAAAAAGAGTAACAGCACTCCTCAGGGCATGCTGGAGCCAAGCCCTCCTGATGGAAGCCCACACCCTGGAACCTCTCTTTTGCAGCCCAGAGACTACCAGTAGCTGAGAGCCGGCTGAGGCAGATCTGGCACTGCCCCGTTTCCCTTGGCCCTGTGTACAGAGTAGAGGGGTGAACTGGGACATGAAGGCCACACAGTGGTTGTGGCCAGATCTTGCGGTTAGCACCTGTTGCCCAGAGATTTTTCTTCTGGTTGCTGGTTTCTGGAACTTAGCCTAGAGGAGCGTCCAGAGCAAGGCCAGTCCAGCCCTGGTGGGCGAGGCGAGCTGCAGCCCATACGCTCTAATGTAATGACCTCAGGAAGCTCATTGTCCTTTGCCTCCCTAGGCCCAGCTCAACTCCTCCAGTCAACTTCTGGAATTAGAATACAGATGGTCCCCAACTTATAACAGTTCAGTTTGTGATGTTTTTGGCTTCACGATGGTGTGAAGGTGACGGATTCAGTAGAAATGCTCATCACTTTCCTCCAAGGAGTCACACCACCTTTCCGTTTTTCATTTTCAGTACAGCGTTCAATACCCGACATGAGGTAGTCAGCACTTCGCTGTGAGGTAGGCTTTGTGCTAGGTGATTTTGCCCACTGTGGGCTAATGCAGGGGCTCTGAGCGCACTGAGGTTGGGCTAGGCTGAGCTATGATGTTCAGTAGGTTGGGCCAGTAAATGTATTTTTGACTTACGGCATTTTCAGCTTATGGTGAGTTCATTGGGACATGACCCCTTTGTAAGTCGGGGAGTGTCTATATATTCTCAATACATTTCTTTTCTTTGACAAGAGATCCCAGTTTCTGAAAGGGCTTGGCTTTTTTTTTTTTTTTAATTTTCATTTTTGAAGACAGTCTCACTCTTGCCACCCGGGCTAGAGTACAGTGGTTCGATCTGGGCTCACTGCAACCTCTGAATTGGGAGGTTCAACCTTGAATTGGGAGGTTCAAGCAATTTTCCTGCCTCCTGAGAAGCTAGGATTACAGGCACCCACCATAATGCCCGTCTGATTTTTGTACTTTTTTAGTGGAGACAGGATTTTGCCATGTTGGCCAGGCTGGTCTTGAACTCCTGACCTCAGGAGATTCGCCCGCCTTGGCCTCCCAAAGTGCTGGGATTACAGGCATGAGCCACCATACCCGGCCTTCTTATTTACCAATTGGCAACTCAAAGATAGCATGTTGGGTTTGACCTCTGGCTTCCAACTCAGGGTTCTCTAAAGTATAATTAGAGACTCCTGAGCTACTCTCAATATTTAAAAGTCCCAGGAAAGTTGTTCCTCACCCCTCTTGGGTCTGGCTGGCTCTGTCATGCCCTTAGTGCAGTGACATGGTTTGTACCTTGCTGATGGAAAGGTCTGGCTTCCCGCTTCACTCTTTCTCTCTTCTCCTCTGGCCTGGTGCAGATGCTCCCACTGGATGCTCCACAGGTCCTCTCTTTCCGGCTCAAGTCACTGCCAGCTAGGGTTTAACCAGAGACAGAAGTGGGAGGAAAGGAGAAGTAGGGGCTTCTTGTGTATTGGCTTTTTTTTTGGGGACAGCCTCACTTTGTCACCCAGGCTGGAGGGCAGTGGCATAATCTCGGCTCACTGCAACCTCCACCTCCTGGGTTCAAGCGATTCTCGTGCCTCAGACTCCTGCAGTCTCCTGACTAGCTGGTATTACCGGCATCCGCCATCATGCTAGACTAATTTTTCTTTATTTTTATTAGAGATGGGGTTTCAGCACGTTGGTGAGGCTGGTCTCAAACTCCTGACCGCAAGTGATCTGCCTGCCTTGTCCTCCCAAAGTGCTGGGATTACAGGCATGAGCCACCACACCTGGCCTCATGTATTGCTTTAAGAAGAAAATGACTGTTAGCCCCTGTGTGCGCCCCCGCCACCCCCCTCCCCCAGCAGCCTCACTCTTTTTCAGTTGTGGAGAGAGAGCGAGAACCAGAGTCCCCAGCTCGAGGCACCCTGAGGCAGCAGTGACAGCCCAGCCCTCAGGGCTGACATGAGGCATCAGTACCTGCTGGGAAGTAGTGGCAGCTGACAGGCCAGCCGGCAGCCACCAAGGCACAGCTTCAGCAGCAGCTTCTCACTGCTTGCCTGGATGACAAGGCCTTGACTGCCAGGGCTGTAGAGACAGCAGTCACAAACCACTGTCACTGTTTGCAGCAGGGAAGGTCCTGGAAGTGGTACTTGTTCCTCCTCAGGACACACACACACACGCACTCAGTGATGGTAGAGGTGAACTGACATCCAGATCCAATGGG